AATTGAAGTACCGACTGCTACAGAACGCATTGTCCGCCCAAAGTCAACCATATCGAATAGCGTCAATAACGCAACACCCAACCTGAGGCACTGCCGAGTGCAGTCCCTCACTTTACCGAGTTCGATTCGTTGCATCTTATAGGAAAAGATGCTGGTCCAGTGCTTATAAACCGACTTCTAGAAACTGAGAGCTACACCAAGTCCAACATTTACAAGATCTTCTGCAGAGTTCTTCTTACCTACCGGTGGCTCTCAGAACGCTCGTATCATGTTTTTCGAAGTGTTCAATATTACTTGGATAATTGGAGGGCCCGTCCTCACTAGTTGCGCGGGCCCCTGCATATTCTTCATTTTTCGGAGATGTGCTGGTTTAGCCACTGTTTCCCTAGAGTCCTGAGGTCAGCCTGACCAAAGTCTGCCCTAGGTCGTCACCATCACAGGCAGTCGCCGCCCTTGTGAATCAGAGTGAGCTTCGCCACCATGCGACTAGTTTGATACTAGGACGGTGGTTGATCCTGGTATCGTTCCGTTATCAGTTTTTGAAATTTTTAAACTAGTTTACATTTGCAAGGAAGACCTTCCATGGGATTTATCAACGATCTTAAAGCAATGGAACAATGCCTATTCTATAAGCCTGCAAAATTTCCAGCTCTTGTACTACTCTATCAGTAGAGAAATACCGTGTGCTTTTGAAAAATCTTTTTCCTTGAGTGAAAGTTAAATAACAAATGATGTTGTGCTGAGTGGCTGGTCCTCACTGTGTACTGAGCGAAAAATTCGCTTCACATTATGGACTGGTAATGTCATGCAAAGTTGCGCTAAAATAGATCTTTGATAAGTGTGAGGAAATTCACAAAATGTCCTAGGGTTTCACTTACCGATTACATCAGAGCCATCCTGTTTTTCTCACCATCAAGTGGTATTGTTTTAGATGTTCTGCATTAGGCCAAATTGCGGGAATTATCTCGGAAGAGTGGTGAGCATTGAAGGGAGGTTGGTGCCAGCACTAGGTGCCACTGGTTTGTGTATACATTTTTTTCATGGAAGCGATTTCTTCGAGTTTTATTCTTTCTTTTAAGCGTTTGTTCTGAAATTCTTTGAATCTTCGATTCCTACTAGACGAACTGTGCGCAAGTGGAGCAATGTAAGTGGTTCTCTATAGGAACAAGTTCCTGCTTAAAGGTACGTGTTACATGAAATCAGTTCTGATTGTGAAATTCTAGGTGACGAAGAAATATTTCACTCCCGACCAGATACGCAGTTATGACATCTGCGCCATGTCAAGTGCACTGACGCCACTTACATTCAGATCAGATTTCACATCTCCATGTTTGTTATGAAAACCGTAGAGAGATTTGTTTGCAATGCTTCCTTTGCTTTTACAGCAGCATTTTCTCTGTCAGTAGTTTTCTTTTCTCGAGCATCTTTCTCATCGCATTGTAAGGTTTCTACGTTCCTGCTATTCACTGGTCTATNTTTTTCTCACCATCAAGTGGTATTGTTTTAGATGTTCTGCATTAGGCCAAATTGCGGGAATTATCTCGGAAGAGTGGTGAGCATTGAAGGGAGGTTGGTGCCAGCACTAGGTGCCACTGGTTTGTGTATACATTTTTTTCATGGAAGCGATTTCTTCGAGTTTTATTCTTTCTTTTAAGCGTTTGTTCTGAAATTCTTTGAATCTTCGATTCCTACTAGACGAACTGTGCGCAAGTGGAGCAATGTAAGTGGTTCTCTATAGGAACAAGTTCCTGCTTAAAGGTACGTGTTACATGAAATCAGTTCTGATTGTGAAATTCTAGGTGACGAAGAAATATTTCACTCCCGACCAGATACGCAGTTATGACATCTGCGCCATGTCAAGTGCACTGACGCCACTTACATTCAGATCAGATTTCACATCTCCATGTTTGTTATGAAAACCGTAGAGAGATTTGTTTGCAATGCTTCCTTTGCTTTTACAGCAGCATTTTCTCTGTCAGTAGTTTTCTTTTCTCGAGCATCTTTCTCATCGCATTGTAAGGTTTCTACGTTCCTGCTATTCACTGGTCTATTTAACATCTGTTTGCTATCGTTCAGTTGTGAAGAGAATTGCTTAACAAGTTTACATTTACGATGAAGTGCTCATTCGATCCGAAATAAAGAATTTTGAGTGGTGTTTTATCTGAAATGTACGATGTTGTTGTGACTGGTTCAACTTGCATACGTATACTTAAGTGTACAGATTGGTGTTCACCACTAGCAGGTTCTGCAGGCTGAGAAAGAATTTGTTTTCCATCCGGGAGTTCAACAAGGGTATTCTAATGCCGTGGGAGAGACAAGCAAAGTGGTTTTGCTCATGGTCTCGCCAAAAGTAATAAGAAACGGCGTTGTTATAGAAATGTGCTGCTGTTCATGTTACTCGGTGGGTTAAGTGAATGGCAGATAATAGAGTTGGTGTATTGATTGCAATTTAGAGGAAATATCGGGTCAATGCTGTATTATATTCCAGAATGTGGGTGCGTGTAACGCAATGGGTAGAGGAGCCTTGCAATACTGACACGTTGGATCCCGCACCCTAGGCTCACAAGGACCTCCGTCCCTGTGGGGCCGGTGTAGTAGTATTGGCTCGGTACTTCGGCAGGCCACCGCGAGTTATTGTAAAAGCCAGATATGCATTCATTCATCTCCAACGATGCTTAACGAAGTCGAATGTGTGGCACACCCCTCAGGGATTGATCAACACCGAGAGCTTTGTCTTTTCATATGCATATGTATATGTATATATACTATACATATGTAATTTTATGATTGCCGCCTATTTCCTCTTTTATATGGGCACAGGATGGCCTTACTCGCTTCGCGAATCTATTCTTCCCCGCACTCTTTAGAAGAGATAAGGTATCTCTTGGTGAAACTCATGTAATCGCCGTGTCTACTATGAAGCATCAACGTGAAATTGGGCGTTTCGCATGGACGGTCGTATTTTATGGGTGTGCTGCTTTCGTTTCAAATAAAGGGTTTGAAATCAAAAAAAAAGTTTGGCCCTTTCAGGCTGTGAAGAAAGCGTAACCGCAAAAGCGTCAGCTATTGTGTATTAATAAATGTTGCAATGCCAGCTCCGTGTGTGCTAGTCAAGGAAATAGCGAGTGAATCCGGAATGTTTGGTTAACCTGTGTGAGATTATTCACGTATTATGCTACAAATACACAATCGCGACAATGTGCAGTTATTCCAGTGCATTTCGTTCGCAGGTGTTTCAAAAGGGATTTCTGCCACATCCCTTTGCCATACTTCTTGTATTCATTCGATGAGCTCATCTTACCACGCTTGTTGTGAAGCATGTGGTCTGACAGCAGCTGTTATTTTGTGCGCTTTGTAATTAGCCGACAATTTTTGGACGAGTTGATTGGTTTAAACGGATGGACATGTATATGTACATTCGACAACTCCTTTCATTTCATAGCCAGCAGAGTTAGGCTAAGACTGCCGCTGACAAGGAGCGTATCTCATTTGTCCTTTCTCGAGAAGCGACACAGCGGATAATGGGGATCGCGTGTAAGATATGGATGTGTCTATATGTACATATATATGTGTATATATATGTATATACGTATATATACTTATATGTCTATGCATGTGTGGCTGAAGTGCAGTAGAAAGGAGAAAAACCGCGAGAGATAAAAACCACAGCGAAATGGAATTGGTAACCCAAACGTGGTTTTAAGCGTGGTTAGTGTCACCTATACTTATGGCAACGGTCTAAGATTGTTCTCATTTGAGAGCAACGTTGATTATCACATAGACACGCGTAGACTTTACGCACAACATTCGCATACCACCTAAAACCTAGCTGTGGGCTCTTATGTTGAAATTGTTAATACGGCTGCATGCAACGATTTGGTATCGAATTCAGATCCTTCTAGAGAACCCCGAATGCCCACACGATGAGGGGATGGCAGTTAACCCATCAATGGATGGCGATGCCGCCGGACCGTCAGGGTGAACTCGATGTAGCGCTTGTGTTATCGATTGTCCCCTATCTGCCGTAGCGTCCATTCGTCTGATACTGTTGTAGCGACCAAGGTTGGGATTGTTTGTTTCTGTCAGGGTTAATTTGTTTTGCTGGCGTGACGACTGTAAAGGCATTGCGTGAAGAGTAGGCAGGTTTTTGTGGCTTCTCGAGTAAAACAGTTAGAATGACGATTACACTGTAGATGCACCACTGACAAAGGGCCCCATTGTGACTCCGATTGTTATGGTGTTTTGTTGGTGGTTTACTGGAAGGTTTCGTTCCAAGTTTTTTTTCTTCGCAATAATTTTCTTGCAGCTGTCTACTGTAAGCTTATTGGCTTTTGAACGAAAACAGTTGGGTATTTGAATCGGTCTTTAATATCCCTATTACGCTTGAGTGATATTTTTATTTAAACTCGTTCATATTTCTCTCGGCAATGTTTCGAAAACACTTGTGCGTTTCTTGTTTGTTTGATTCTCTGTCCTTCCCAATGGCTTACCTCCTCATCGTGGGTGGGAGGTATTTCTGGGATGCCAGGCTGAAATGTACAGCGGGGGAATTCCTCCCGCTCGTAGGGTTTCCCAAGCTGACGAGTCCGGTGTTTCCAACAGGAGGCCCAGCTAAGAGTAAACCAATGCCAGGGTCCACCACCATCGTGGTATCAAACTAGTCGCGTGGTGGCAAATCTCCCTCTAATCCATAAGGGCGGCGACTTGCTGTGGTGGTGTCGACCTGGGGCAGACTCTCGCCTAGCTGACTTTGGTGGTCCAGGGAACCACATTGGCTAAAACAGCAAAACTCTGTGAAAATGAAGATTGTGCTGGGGCCCGCAGAATCAGTGAGGACGGGCTATCCAAGTATCTAAGCTTTTCTTTTGTTGTTGTGGTATGTGATGAGTTGAGTCCAAATGAGTCTACGAAGGATGTTTGACGGAAGCTTCGATTTGTTATTGACTTTATACTTGCGATTTGTTGTCAATTTGTTCTAATGAACCTGCGTTGTCTAATAGATGGAGGTTTCGTCTTTCCAGGTGATGACGCCACCTATTGCCCCAATAGTGGGAGCTTTGGGTGGATGCATGGGATGCATGGTATTTGTCGAAAAGATCGCCAGGTAAGCTTTTTTTTGGTTCAGTAAAGTTGACTGTTTTCATTATGAAATTGCAAACACGTGGCCTTCGCAGTATTTGGGACACGCGGGCTGCTTCCTACTCTTGAAACAGTAATTTTTGAACTCTATTTTTATTTAATCTTGCGAGACAAGAACAGTATACCGTGTTCTTGTTGTGCGGAAAGAAATGTCGAATTCTGTTCTTCAATATCTTACATCTTATTTGAAAATGAAGACTATGATTACCATTTGAAGCCGTTAGGTGAAATACGGAGGCAGAGGAAGCGGAGTGGTTAGAGATACCATACAATGCAGGATGGTTGGTCTGACTCCACAAAGGCCAGCCACGCCCTCATTACTCTGGCAAGTTGGACTAGATTTATATCCAGAGAAAGGTGCCTCCGGTTAGGAAGGGCCGAGGGCTGTTTCTATGGTAACGACTTGAGAAGTTTCAATAGAACGAATTCAAAGTTTCCAAGGAGAATCAAATCGATTGGCATTTAATGATATGAAGGGGAAAAGTCCTCAAGTGGCAGCCAAACCCACATTCAAATCCGAAAACTTTTACGAATGAGCGATGTCTGACAACGAATCGAACAGAGAAGGACCTAGATGGACATGCACAATGTATGGAATTGTGTGATATTATTTATTTATTTCATTTTATATGACCCATTTTCGCGTCTACTATGTCGATCCCAGTACTTCCCACATTCGATTCGTTTCCTCGCATCCATCATCCACGAGGGTCTTCCAACTTTTACATGTCGCTTCAGCTGGTGCTTGAGAATTTTCATTTCATCTTGAATGTCATCGTATTGGTCGAATATTCTCCCTGGAATGCTGAGATATCCAGGCTGGAGAGTTTCCGATTGGACTGCAGAGAGTGATTTTTTCCCGAAGTCCGGCACCAATTTCCCGATCCTGAAGGAATAAGAGGCCTGGTGAACCTAAGATGGGATCGAACCAGCACCGTACCCATGATTATCGACATCACTACCACTGAGCTATCTGTCCCCTAATTGTGTGATCAAAAAATAAACCAACAAGATGAAGATAGAAAGATGTCATATAGAACGGTTCATTAGCTTGTGGAAGAACTGGGCTAACATAAAACCACAGTTCTGAAGACATCGATTTAGTTGGAAAGTTGAAAAATGATCGAATGGTGTTGTGGGTGAAAGTGAATAACATAAAACAATTGAAAACGTCTCGTTCAAGGTTGGATACGAACACCAGATTTGCGCAAGACCAAATTAGATGACTCTGGAGAAGTTATTCATTAGAACTTCTTCAATCCTGATGATTAGGATAAGAAAGTTTTGCGGAGAAGTTGACGAATTCCACCAAGAGCTGCTGCGAGATCCACCAACAACAATGGTCAATTAAAACTAATCGGTTTTGTTTTGTGACGACGTATAACCTGTTGCCAAATAACCATGCCGGAAAGATTGAAAAATAATAGGATGCGAAGTACCGTTTTGTCCTGTCTATTTGGAGCTGGACCTACTTACCTGAGGAACCGCAACCACCAACCGCTTTTTGAAGAATTTCGACTACTTGCTACAAAAATTTTCAACAACCTGGAAACTGCTGGAAATTTCTTCAGAAGATTTTAGCACTAAAAAGCCTACGTTTCTGTAGCCATGGAATGAATAGATTTGCAGCTCGTTGACTCGTATTCCGATGGGTTTTTGTTTTATCAGTAGACCTTACTGTATAGTTCATATGAGTGTATATATGTGGATATATATATATATCCACATATATACATATATGTATACATTTATAATTCAAAAGACCGACTTTCGATAAACCTCGGCATAAACGATCGATATATTTCGATGTTTTTCTTCGATAAGCAGACACGAGGTTGTTATTATAGAATTTATTAGGATACAATAGCTGACGTTTCGGCGGTTTCGCCTTCTTCAGAGTCTGGAAAGGTCAAGTTGACAGCAATCTATTCGGCCAAACACCTCCATAATCAAACAGAGAAGATGCTGAACCAAGATTTCAATCACATTGAACACAGCTTTGCACACCCACCGCTTTCTATGAGGCCTCCACTGAGTATGTCGCGTGAAGACCAAGCGCACAGAATTCACATGGAAGCGCAATGGGCCCCATCCATCAGGATTGCAACCTTATATACTGCCCAATATCATGTGTGGTAAAGAGACATTCTTCGCTGCGATTCATTTTCGGATTTCTGGAATTAATCCAGAACGCCTCGAGAGTTTTGCGTGCTTGTGTTCTTGATTCCTGCGCGAGGATCGTGACATGTACTTCAAAGTCCTCCCTCTTATGTCTCTGGGTCCTGTGCGTGCCTAGTGGGGTATTTGGTAGACGTTTTCCGGCTAGGTGTTCTTTTATGCGGACACAGAGGGGTCTGCCCGTTTCGCCAATGTATTCGTCTCCGCACGTCTTACAGGAGATCAGATGAACTATACCCGAGCTCATGCAATCACCGTCTCTAGCACTGAGGCAAATTATGCAATTTTGAGTTCCACATAGACGGCGATATAGGCGGTTACGAACTAGCTGGAGCTTAAGATTACTCGGTGGTATTTCAACTATGTTTACCGAATTCTCTAAACACGCCCTTCTTAAGCAGCGTTTTATAGCTGTACTTACATCATTTGAGATAAAGGGTAGGATAAACGGGACTCTTCTATCGCTAGAGTTGCCGTTTGGAGGCCTACGATTTCCCCTACACCTATTCTGAGCTACAGTTTCGTAGCCATTAGAAATGACTATTTGCCGCGCCAAGTTCCGTGACTCCTCTCTCTGCTCTGTTCCCGTGCACACGTTGGTTGCTGTTCGAAACATGTTTCTTATAAGCGCCCTTTTCATGTGAGAGGGCTGAAAAGAGAGGTAATGAACCAGGATGTGTTTACTACTTGGCTTTCGGTAACTGACACTTTGTAATGTAGCCATTTTCTGACAGATGAATTTGGACGTTCAGGAATGGAAGCCATTTCTTTCATATGAAATGCTGAGATATTTGCAAAACTCCGGACCACAGGTGTATGCAGTGGAGAACGAACACGCGCTGTTGTCCTTACCGGGGAGCAGCGCACTTCACCACTACACCATCCGGGTCCTTCGCTTTGCGTATATCTCAGCTACTTCTATCGATCTTTTCCATTTCGGCTTTCGTCATACCATTTCATTTCGGATTTCGGCATACCATTTCTTTCGGCTTCTCTCGGGTGGAATTTGATATACTCTGACTGTGCATTTAACAACTTGAATCATTTGTCCATTTCCTCTTGTGTTGAGCAAAAGGCAAAACAGTCATCTATATATCTACAGTAGAGTAGCGGCCCGATATCAGTCACCAGTGCTGCCACCTTAGACATAAACGCAATGGCAAGGCTTGGTGCCAGTCTTTGTCCCATTACCAACCCTCTCATTTGAGCGTAGTACTTTTTGGACCATCTGAAGTTTGAGCAGCTCAAGCATTCTTTGAAGAGGGCCATCAAGTGCTCTATCTTGAAGCCACACATGTTTATTTCTCCTTCGTGTTGTGTAAGGAGTTCGAATATGGCTTGCATTGCGGAGTCATTCGACACGTTTGTATAAAGGGCGGTAACGTCTAAGGACTCTATCACATACGCGCTGCTGGGCTGCGCAGTACGTAGACGATCCAGAAACATCTGGGTATTCGTAACTTGACCTTTCCAGGCTCTGAGGAAGGCGAAATCCGCCGAAACGTCGGCTTATTCCCGAATAAAGAATAAAAGTAACACCTCGCGTTTGCTCAACAAGAATACGAAGAGCAAATTTATTTGTTAAGTTTTATCTGCTAGGGTTATGAAAGTGTTTAGCTGAGTAGACTGCATCTCGGTTTGACCTTTCCGGGCTCTGAAAAAGGCGAAACCGAGAAACGTCAGCTATTGTATCGTAATAAATTCTATAATAACAACCTCATGTCTGCTTATTGGAGAAAAACATCGAATTATCAATCAATGCCGAGGTTAAAAGAAAGTCGGTCATGGGAATCGATATATTTGTTTATATGTTCTCATGAACAGATCTTGTTGAACTGGTGTGAGGTTGGTATAGTTGTTGTTGTTTTTGTTGTCGATGTTGTTGTTGTTGTTGTTGTTGTTGTTGTTGTTGTTGTTGTTGTTGTTGTTGTTGTTGCTTCTGTAGTTGGTCGATGGCTAACATTTCGGCGATTTCGCCTCCCTCATAGCCGTGCTGTTACGAGAGTGCCATAGTGGAGACGAAATCACCGAAACGTCAGCCATCGACCGACAACAACAACAATAACATTGACAGGAATGACAACAGCAACAGCTATACCAACCTGCATCAGCTCAACAAGATAACTTCGTAAGAACATGTAAATAATTGTATGAATTATTTATGCCGAGGTTTATAGAAAGTCAGTCTTCTTAGGTATATATATGTATATATATTTCAAGTTGAAGGCTGCAGGTATACATTACCTTCTAGACAACACATATATTCACTGAGGGAGTTGATTAAAGTGTAAAATACGAGCAGGTGTGCTACCAACCGATTTGTTCTAAATAGAGTAGGAATGTGGGTTATGGAGTACTGCATTATTGAAATGGGCAATATTTTTGTACTTCTCCATCAAGGAGACCTAATTTTACGGAACACTGATTACCATTAGAGAAGCAATAGTATTTTTAGAAAAGAGCCGTCATCGATGAATCTTATGACGTTCTCCACATTTCTGTTTATCGCTTGCCAAGGATTAATATTCACATCCAAATTTCTCACAGTTCGCAATAAAATTCCGCTCAGGTAGGTGGCTGTTAGTCTCTACAATAAAGTGTAAAGTGCATGTAAACTGTAATCACTGAGAAAATAAGGAGCTCTATTACATTACTGGATGATGGAAAAAGTGTCGTGCTAGGAACCGGTGAGGTAAAGTATATCATTTTCAAAACATATCATAGTTCCCAGTTCCCCTTCGGATTGTAAGTACAGAATTGTCGCAAATTATCTCAAAATAGTTGTAGTTCTGTTTCCTTAGCGCATAGGGTTCTTGTCTACACTTCCTGCAAACCTCTTGCTTAAATTTACTGGACATCACATTACTATTCTTTGTGCTGATCTTTTGTTGATTTCATAGATCGTTGCGGATATCGAACCGGCTATTTGAAAGTATGAAACCTGTTATTCACTTCCAGGGGTTATACTATAACGGTAATCATGTTCTTCATAGTGAATGTCGTCAATAATCAGGCACTCAATTTTCATGTTCCTGTACCACTACATATTATTTTTCGATCGGTGAGTTACTCATACTATCTTCTGAGGTGATTTTCGTTTAAGTTGACTACCATTTATTCTAAATACTTTGTAAAACGAATTCTTTGAGATTTCTTGTGATCGATTCCGGTGCTTTTTTAAAATCCGAATTCAATGGAATATGAAGTCGAAAACAATGAACGTGCTATTACTAGGGTGCTGCTGGCAACATCACACATGTTACCCGCCATGCATTGATTTCAATGCGTGGTGCAAAAATAATGGTCTTCTTTATTTTTAAACTGGCATATCTCTGCTAATAGCAAAATTTACCTATTTTGATAAAAAAAAAACATAGAATCTGCAGATTTCTGCGGCCAGATAGAAGTTTTATCATTCCACCATGGTGAAATTCCAACTTTTGGAGCACAGAAACACTATTGTAGTCCTTTTTCGTTGAGGCTTGTTTTTCGAACACTGACGCAATTAAACAGGGGGATAAGATCTGATAAACCAAGGTACTTTCTATCAATGTAAGGTAATTGCCAATGTAATTGTTCTTTGCGCCGGTCTTCCTGCTTTGGAGATTTCGAAAATTTGAATTTCATGTTCGTTTTTTGAGAATTTTAATTCTAGTAACGTATAAAACCAGAACGATATTTTTGAGCATCATATATATCCTTAAAACTGTGGAGCAAACTTCTATAAATCCAGAAAGCTGTCAACCCCTTTAATATTTTAGTGATCGAGTTAATGTTCGTTATCGAAAAACCATCATATGGTGCGCTTTGTGTGAGTAGTAAAAGAGTGGATGTTGAACTGCGATGTACAGCGGGGGATTCATCCCCTGGCAAGGTTTCCCAAGTTGAGAAGGAGTCCAGCGTTTCCATCAGGATCTCTAACTAAGAGTAAATCAATACGAGGACCCGCCACCATCCCGGTATCAAAGTCGTGTGGTGGTAAATCTCTCTGATCCACAAGAGCTGAGACTCTCTGTCGTGGTGACGACCTAAGGCAGACTTTGGCCATGCTGTTCTCGGGATTCCAGGGAACCACAAACGCTTAACCAGCGAATCTCCGAGTGGAAGTCATGTTGGGGTCCGCACAACTAGTGAAGAGGGGCCATCCGAATATCGAGTAAGTAAAAATTATTCGAACCTTCCATTGTGCCAATCTGACTCTGTCGATCTGTGCGTAGGCCACATCGTTTGGCAATTCACTGATCTAGCGGGGGTGGTCTTTCTTTCTCTCTTTCTTTGAAAAACTAGTTTTTATTGGAAGAGATGAACCACAGAGAATGGTATCGCAAGATCACCATTTCCACTACAATGTCATGATCCAAATTTGCCGATTCACTACTCTTGTTCTTGTGTAGTTCTTACCATTTCGTTGATGTCGCCTGTGACAAATTCGTAGGCTTAGTAGTCATTTATTCTTAAACCAGAAATTTTTTCATTGAAGTGAAAATTTCTGATAGCAAGAGAAAGTGTGTTTATGAATGAATCATTATGGAATGAATTACATTCGTTACATATTCAGGGTTCTCTTCTTGCCAACCTTCTTCTTTCTGTAGTTTTACTGAAGAAAAATTACACGTTGAAAAAGTATCTGTCAGTACTCGCCATCACAATGGGCATCGTCATCTGCACCCTCGCAACAAGTGATTTGGAAAAGGTGAACGGTTTTCGACTCATATTCAAAGCTCCAGTTTACATCTACATGTGAATGCCGATTTAAATATGCGATGATAATGGAGTGACGAAATAATTTGATTCCAATTCCCGAAACAAATTTTTGTTAACTTCGACATTCATCAATAATTCACTGTTTTCTTGGTAAGCATACAGGAGGTTGTTACTACATATTTTATTCGCAAAACGTGACGTTTCGGTAGACGTCACCTTTTTTAGTCTGGAGAGGTCAAATTGACTGCAGTCTAGTTAGCCAAATACCTCCATAACCCTATAGAAAAGTCGTGGAACCTAGATTTCAACCATACTAGAAACGAACTGGTTTCTCTACCCACTCATCGCTTTCTGTCAGTTCTTCAACTGAGCATTCCACGTGGAGACCAACAATACAGAGTTCACATTGATGGGTAATGAGCCACTCTCACGTTAAAATATCAGTCTGAGACATTGTGTTGAATCACGTGAGATGGCGAGGCATTCCTCCCTGCGGTTTATTTCTACATTCCTGGAATTTATCCAGAATGCTTCGAGAATTTTGCTCGCTGAAGTTTTCGATTTCTGTACGAGAATGGTGACTTCTACTTCAGAATCTTCTCCATAATCTCCGTGCCATTTGTGCATCAGTGGAGCATTTGATTTAACTTAAAATTTCCTGATTTGGTGTTTTTTACACGGACACATAGCGTTCTACCCATCTCGACAATGTATTCGCACGCCTAACAAGAGATTGTGTACACCATAGCCAAAATCATGCAATCGCCATCTCTACGTTGGGGAATTATGAAATTGTATGTTGTGCGTAGACGGTCATACAAGCGGTTACGGACGAGCTGACGTCTGAGAATGTTCAGTGGGATTTCAATCACTGCTGCCGAATTCTCTAAGCCAACCCTTCTTAAACAACGTTTTATAGCTGCATTAATTTAGTTGAATGTAGAAGGTAAGATGGATAGCACCTTGCTCTCACTAGGCATATCATTTGGGGTTCTGGGTTTTCTTCTCCATCTAATCTGAGGAGCTACATTTTCGCAGCCATTCGAAGTGACTATTTGCCGCGCCTACCTCCTCGAACAGCTACAGCGTCCAGAAAGGCAATGGAGAAATTCATTCACGAATGCTACTTAGATCTCCTCGATAACCACATCCACCTTTCGTCATATCAAATAAAGGAGGATGTATATGTTGTGCCACCGGTTCTTCTTTCCGAAATCCGATATGCCATCTCATCGGTGAAAAATCGAACAGCACCAGGTCCGGAGAGGATAGGACTAGAACACCTGAGCTCGGCTCTTCACACGCTCTTCACAATGATTTAGCACGATGGACTACATCCACGCGATAACAAGACTCACTGAAGTATCGCCAGAGTACAGAAGACGGCTCTGTCCCATTTTCATCGATATACAGAAAGCCTTTGATTCAGATGAAATAGAAACACTCTTGGAAGCCCTTGATAGTCAAGGAGTACCTACTCAGTACATAAAGATCCTTCGTGAGCTGTACAAAAATTTCACAACCAGGGTATCACCATTCTACATCGATATTAACCTTGACGTCAAAAGAGGAGTTAGGCAAGGCGACACCATCTCGCCAAAATTATTCACCGCCACCTTCGAGAACGTCAAGCGAACATTGGGATGGAACATCATGGGAGTGAAAATTGATGGTCGGCAATTATACCTTCGCTTTGCTGATGACATCGTCCTTATAACACCAAACATTAGCCAAGCGGAACGAATGCTTGCCGACTTTGATAAATCCTGTGAAAAAATTGGTTTTCGACTAAACCTCACAAAAACGATGTTCACGCTCAACGGAACAAATATCTCTGAATGCTCCAGTTATATCTATTTAGGTCGGGAAATTAATATGATGAACAACCTAACACCAGAGCTGAGCAGAAGAAACGAGCAGGTTGGCCAGTTTTCAATAGCATCGAGGATGTAGTGAAGTGAACAAAGAGCGCCCAACTCCGTGCCCATTTTTCGACTCGACGGTACTTCCTGCCTTAACGCATGCGTCAAAAATTTGGTCGCTGCGTAAGCAGGATGAAAAGTCACTCAGTGTTATCGAGCGCACAGTCAAAAGGACGATGCTGGGAGTATCCCGTTCTACACAAGTAAGGGATGGGATCCGAAGCTCCGATCTGCGTGAACGATCAAAATTCAAAGATACCGTTCTGTACGCCAAACACTCGAAGATTAGGTGGGCTGGAAACGTAATGCGTATGAATGACAACCGATGGACAAGAGCCGTTAGCGACTGGATTCCTCGGGATGTCAAACGTACTGCAGGAAGACCACCGACCCAATGGTCAGAGTTCTTCACAAAGAGCCTTGAAGAAAGATATAATGCTCAACGAGCCCCTAGAGCGAGCAGAACCCACTGGGCTACTGTTGCACGCGACAGGGAAAATTGGAGGATTTACTGGTGCCCGCTCGAGTCACTCGATAATCAGTGGTACTACAGGTGATACAGGTGATCTCCTCGAAAAGGTCGCGTGTGGTGCAGTGGTTGGAGGCGCTCTTGCGACACACACGTGGAATTTATCTCTGTGCCCATGGCTCACCAAGCCTTCCATCCCTCCGGAGTCAGCAAATTGATACCAGACTTGTGTGGGAGTTAGGAGCACTGGCTCGATACATCGGTAGGGCACCACGAGTTATTGTAAAGGCCAGTTATGCATTCATTCACCTCCAACGATACTTAATGAAGTCGAATGCATGGCGCATCCTTCAGAGATTGATCAACACCGGGAGCTTTATCCTTTTTATCTCCTCGATTTCCCCTTCTGCTCTTTCCTTGTGCGCGCGCTGGTGGCTTGTTCGAAACATGTTACTTGTAAGCCTCCTTTTTGTGTGAAGGGTGAAGGGAGAGGGAGTGGCGGAGTTTTTTTTCTTAGCTTTCGGCACCACTTAGTGTTATAGCTGTCTTTCGTTTGCTTAATTTGAACGTTAGGAAATGGAAAGTAGCTATCTTTTAATAGTTCCCAGGATCGACTTTCTCTTAACCTCGGCATTGGAATATGAATGTGTCGTTTTCTTGTTCAGCAATCGCGAGGTTTTTAAACAGCATACATTTACTTCCATAAAACACAATACAATACAACGCTGGCTGACGTTTCGATAGTATCGCCTTCTTCAGAGCCTGGAAGGGTATACTGATATACAATCTACTAGGCCAAACGCTTCAATAACACTTACACAAAGACGAAAGACTTTAGATCAACAACTTCTCGAAAAACCCACCGCTTTTTTGTGACTTCCAATGAGGAAGTTTAGAACAGCTGATTATAGTCGCATATGGTTGACGACTGCACCATCGCGCATCAAAGATCGATGCGAACGTACGGGATCAGGTCGCGTATGACCTCCGGGCATTCGTCCCTGCTATTCATTGTAGGGTTTTTGGCATTGATCCAAAAAGCCTCTAGGAGTTTTCGCGCTGGTGTTTTGGACTCCTGTGCAAGGATATTGACTTTTACTTCAAAATCGTCTCCGCTATGCTTTTGTATCCTATGCGTGCCTAGTGGGGTGCTTCGTCTTAGTTTTCGTTTGCCATCTAGGTGTTCTTTTATACGGATACACAAAGGTCTGCCCGTTTCGCCAATATATTCATCTCCGCAATTGTTACACGAGGTCGTATATATCGTAGCTATCTTTTGTTTTGGCTCAAGTGAATTTTATGTTTTCTGGCTGTTCGTTCAGTAACTCGGAACATTTTCTCCTTTTAAACATCTTAAACATCTCCATTTTAGATTATTTGCTACAAGAAAGAAGGAAGTTTGCAAAAGTGCCAAATAAGTAGTTCGAAGTAATTCGGCTTCCTGTACCTCCCCAAGAATTTTCGATTTCGTTGTACCAGTGTAACAAAATTGACTGTTTCTACGAACTTCTTTCAGAGTTTATTTTTCTGATAAAAGTTCCTTGTGCTCAGTGTGCTTAGTGATAACGTACTTTTCAGGAATCAGGATTGACCTTCGAAGAAGCGGCAAAGCACTATCGAGAGTGGAGTATCGGTTGGTTTCATTCTTCACCAGCTCTTAACTAGTTCGTTACATTCCTTGCAGATATATTTGTAGGGGCACGGGTAGCCCAGTGGTGCCCACAAGATCTAGGAACATTCTCTCATGGTTCCACAGAATCGGTTTTCAATTAGAGAAAACAGCATTCATCGACATTCATAAAGAAGACCAAATGTCCTCTAGTAGTAGCCAAATGCAACCGCAAATCCCAAAACGTTTGTGGATGATGAATGTGGGAAGACGAATAGAATCTACGAATTTAATAGAATTTAGTGGTATGAATTGGTTTGAACTCATAATTAAAAAGAAACTTTGAAGGAGGATTCTTAATTAAAACTCATCATATGGAAATTTCACAACTTTTGGTTTATTTTGTTTTGGTATTGAGGCTCAATATTAATTTTTAAGAAGGACCTTTATTATGGCTCTTGTTTTAGAAGGATCTAAGATTATCCAATTCACTTCATTTAAGCTGTCTTTCCGTATTCATTAGGGGAATATTGTTTTGTAGGGATTGCGATGCTGATCTTCGCATTGCTGGCCTCTGCCTATTTAGCCATCTGTCAGCAACGAATATATGAAAATTATGGAAAGCATCCTGAGGAGGCAATGTTTGTTATAGTCAGTCTGCTGAATTCCGTTGGTTGTCTGCATTTTAATAGAAGCATAGGTTGCTGATATGAAAGAGGTGCTTTGTAGTGGCGTTCTTACGAATAGTTTTAAATAAAATAATTTGTCAATTTCGAAATAGATAAATGACTTGTTATTTTTTTAGTACGCGACCAAGAAGCGAAGGCGTACAGTGTAATAACTCACTTGGATACTTGAATTGCCCGTCTTCACTAGTTTTGCGGGTCTCGCCATAATCTCCATTTTTTCAGAGTTTTGCTGGTTTAGCCATTGTGGTTCCTTGGAGTCCCGAGGTCAGCCAGGCCAAAGTCTACCCCAGGTCGTCACTGCCACAGTCAGTCGCAGCTGTTGTGGATCAGAGGGAGATTCACCGCCATGCGACTGGTTTAGTACCAGGACGATAACAGATCCTGGTGTTTGTTTACTCCTAGGTGGGCTTCCTGTTGGAAACGCCGGACTACTCAGTTTGGGAGACCCTACCATGGGTATTAGTCCCCCACCGTACATCGCAGCCCGACACCCAAAAACATCCACCAGCCACGATGAAGCGGTGAACTGTTGAGAGGGTGCAATGTAATAAGGGTTAGCCAGTTCAGTTACCTTCCTCTGAACAAATTTCACAGTGGTCTCATTGTTAACTTGTGCGGTAAACTCTTCTGCGAAAGGTAAGGAACCGAATTTTTCATTGTCTCAAGTGTCAGCGTTCTCCTTTGCAAATTAGGCAAGCTTAACTATTGCTTGACTCTCTACCATTACGGAAGTCTACTTTAGACATTTTTAAAGTTTCTCTACGCGACTTTGCAAAACGCATTCTAGTATATCTGACTACTTGTCCTTTTTTCTCAGGAGAGAGTTCGAGTTTGTGAATAGCTACTCGTTCGCTTTTAGCACGCTGTTTCTCTGCCACTTTTCGCGTTTATGGGAGCGGATATGGTGGCTGCTGTGAGAAAATTCAATGCGGTATTCTCATTACTTCTTCTTTCAGCTATCTTTCACTGATTCATTTTTCCCTCTTAGAGCCCTCCGCTTGAACTTGCCGGTGCCACGATTCCTGTGCCATCCTTATGGGTGGATCTGTTGCTGAGTTGTATTTTACAGTGAGTCAGTTTCTTGCTAGTTCTATGATTCAAATTTTAGATTTTAAGCATTCGTAAACGGACTATTACGTTCAAGCTGTACATCTTCGTGAGGTTCTTTATTGGGTGAACTGCAATGGTTTGTAAAATGTAAAATAACTGAACCTAAATCTTTCACCGTTTTTGATCACTTGAGTAAACATCCATATGGTCGTCCTCCCATATCGTGTGGTCCTCATTGCTTTCTCCAGCTATTTTGATTCCCCTCTAATACTCAACCGTGAAGGAAGCTGGGTAAGAATATGAGTTCGGCTGGTTACTGGAATACTGAATAATACGCGAGCGGTTCTCGTAGTAATCCCAGCACCAGCAGAGCAGCATGAGTGCATTGTCAACTCGTTCATGCGCAGGCCGTTGTGGCCTAGTGGTTTGTTGCCTAGGATTCTTCTAATACGATGGCCATTACATCACTTAAAATTAGGTGTTTCACCCACCGGGCGGGCCAGGACGATATATAAAACGATTCCATTTGAATGTAAGAAGATACGAATATTGCATTGCGAAACGAATATTGTTATATAGTTAATTGTGGTGTTTATAAAGAAACCGAAACCAAAATATAAAAAATTAGCATTCCAGATAACTGTGTGAAGAGGTGTATGGGTAATAAAAAGCTCCTCTGTGGCCCCTAGGTTGTTTTCAATTTTCCAACTAATCGGCTGACAAAGCAGTACTCTTAGCAGCGGATATAGAACTTCCACATTTAAATGGCCAGATTTTATAGTGATTGAGACCCTTTGATTCGGCGTAAAATCTAATGCTTATAATTTCGCTATGCCAACTTCGTTTTGTTCAACACTTTGAAAGTAATCAGAATAGATTCAAATTCACCGTGGTTTTTCTCATGAAGTGAAGTTATATTTAGAAGTCCTCCATTTATTCATATGGGAAAGGAGTGGGATATTTTTAAAAAAAACCGAAGAAAAGGCGGTATCACTAAATGATGCTCACACACAAATGTATCACTGTGGTTATGTCATATTATACCAGCCTTTGTTAAGCCTAAAGTTCATCTCCATGTCGAATAGTTGTCCTAAGTTTTATTCGACATTTTCTTAAGCACTGAAGTACGTAATTCCGCAATACTAAGTTGGTGCCAAATCATGACATTCAGGTACTACTGTATCAGATTCGTTTATCGACTAAACGCAGAGGTTGAAGCGCTCACGGTTACACTGGTGGTGACCTTAAGGAAATTCCTGTCTCTAGTCGTCTCCATCTGGTGGTTTCAAAATCCATTCACATGTCAGTTTTAGCAGAAATTTAAGAAATCAAAATTGAATTTTCGTCATCTTAACCGTTTTATTTACTACCTACTCTTTTTAATGGCAGGGTATATTGCGAAATATAACTTCAATGATGCTGAGATATTTGCAAAACTCCGGACCGCAGGTGTCTGCTGTGGGAAAGGAATGCGCTATTGTCCTTTGCGGGGAGTAACTCGTTCACCACAACACTATATGGTTCATTCGTTTCGCCTGTCTCTCAGCTACTTCTATCGTTACTCACCGGAGTTCCCCACCGCAGACACCTGCGGTCCGGAGTTTTGCAAATATCTCAGCATCATTGAATCTTCATTGTTTACAGGAGACTAATATGCTTTCAGACGTCCCTATTGTTAACTACAGAGACGATGATTTAGCATGCAGAGTAGTAGTTTCAGGGAAACACTGGATCGGAGCTGTTTTGGTATTCATCGGTACTTTGGCGTTCGCAGACATATGGACAATCAAAAATAAGGAAAAGAAGATGGAATAGACTGATCGTTTCGTGTGCTCATGTGAACTCTTGGTCGTGTGGATAGCCAAAACTTCTATGCAACACACATAATGTCAGAAATTCACCCATGAGCTACTTCATCTGTCCACCCTATTCATCAACTTCTTTTCTTCTTTGTCATTTTAGCTTCCTATGTCCAGTTCTGGATTTTCTATGCAAGTTTTATTTACCTCATAGCAGGAAGATATTTCTAAAGAAATTCATGCACTTCCAAAAGTTTTCACTGTTAAATTAGTTAGCATTAGCCGATCATCAATGCCTTAGCTCTTGTTTCGTACAATAATAAGGTTGCTATATTTTTATGCCTGATAAAGCATTCAGAGTATCATCTGTAGTAAGACAGACATTAGTGAAACTTGCAATGAAACGTAATGTAATGTCTTAGGAGTTGAAATTGATAAGAGGAAGAAAGTTTTAAAGAAGTAAAAACTAGGACCAATGGAAAAAAAACTGTGGATTTGGAAGCAAAATTGCATGAGGCAGCACTATTCATACTTACTTGGATACTCGGATGGCGCGTCATCATATTTAGCAGACTAAAAGCATGAAAAGATGAAGCTCTCGGCGTTGATCAATTCCTGAGGGATGCGCCCTGCAATCGACCTCATTAAACATCGTTTCGAGGTGGTTGAATTCATATCTGGCTTTACAATGACTCGCGATAGCCTACGGATGTATCGAGTCAGTGCTGCCATCCTCCCAGACATGTCTGGTACCAATTTGCCGAAAAAGGTGGGATGGAAGGCTTGGTGGACCATGGGCGCTGGGATCGATTCTACGTATGTGTGGCAGGCCGCCTCCGACCACTGCGCCATACAGTCCGCTTTGTGGCGTAGTAGTCAAGAGGAAATGTGTTTTCAAAGTACGACAGCAGTTATGCTATGTACGTGATGGATAGTAAAATCCAAGCAATAGTTTGACATATCGCCGATGCTCTTCACGAGATCTTTCGCAACCGTAGCGTGACACCTCATGAGTACCCTAGTTTGAGGTGCTTTAGCGATCATTCCGTGCAAATTGGTGCTAATTTTATCTGATTTATCTGAGCGTGTTGGAAAGATGTGGAGTGAGAAATGTTTGCACTATTATAGCAGTCTACACATCAACATCAAGCCACATCGAAGACGGCGTCGAATTCTACACGAGCTGAGAAGTTTCTGCAACAGAGCTCATGCATTTTACAAGGCTATCACTGGCACTTTTCGCCAAGATTTATCAAAGATGAACGCTTAAAAAACCTCACGCCGAGAGCCACAAACTGGCATGTAGCGAACAAGACGAGAGGCTGTTCAAACTTATCGTGAAGAATAAGGAACGGTAAGGAATATTACCGTTTCTCACTTCTTTAGATTTTCAACCGGATAGGCTATTATGAAACAGCACGAACTGCACGCAAAGACCAACTTATGTCTAAGCTCACATAAAAATATTAGCGCGAATAGAAAATCATTAACTGATGCAATAAAGGTGAACCATCTACAGTATACCCACACAGTTACGGAACACACGAATGCACAGCGAGAGCAGAAGGTTATACTACTCTTAGCAACAAAGTTTATGAGGTGGCTCTCGTTTTCGTTGAGAAGATAAGTGTTGTGGATGTCTTCGATAACCAGTTCATCCCTATTCAGCAAAAAAAAGGCAAAAAGGTAACTTCACGTTAACAATTTAAGCATTATATAGCGACAACACTGTTGCAGTAAGAGGGCTCCAAGAAGACGATTCCAGCTCTTCACTATTGTCCAAAGTATGCCGCCCCGTGCTCTTCAATAGTGGATTGACCTAGAAGTCACAGTGTTGTAGAAAGGAAATGAATGCTCATGACCTAACATCTCTCACGTTATTACCTTAACAGTGCTAACCATTAGGAAGGCGGAATGAATGCGACCTAATTTTTAACGGTGTGTATGATGAAAGGGTTAATCTTTGATTAATGATGAAACAGTGATGTCCCAAAAAAAAGAACCTGCTCGTTCACGATTAAAGGAAAAATTATCGCAGAGTAGTGTTGGTATAATTATTTACGTCGCGGAGTCGGCATGATGAGCAATCTGGCTCAGAAGCTGTGCAGAAAGAAGCGAGCGGCTTCGGAACCTTAAAATAACACTGAGAAAGAGGAATGGTAAAGTAGCTAAGACATCCTGCAAACTATTAGAATCTGCAGCCCCCTTAGTGGCAAATTTCGGCCGACATAATGAGCTCTAAAAATATAGAGAATCGTATGGGATTCCAATATTAAACGTACTTGAGTTTACATATTTTTGCTCAGTTTAAATGTAGTGTCTACTTGGATACAAGATGGTCCGACCCTAATGAGAAAAGTCAGAAGAAAGACGTTAAAAACTTGCACAGTTGTGTTGAAGGATGTTCCTAGTGCAAAAGTTAACACCTTCCCTCAACACGTGCGCCGTGCTTGTCGTCCTTCATGGTCGCCATCATGCATCGTCTACCTACAGGTGTCCACAATCCTATCATCAACAAAACACATAGAGGTGTCTAGTATGAGAATTAATGAAACCAGTCCGGATCTTATGGCGGCGATATCGCCATGGTTCGAAAGTAGTTTAACACTGTACATGGGCAGTTGAGTTGTCATCCAAATGACAGATTTACACGTTGAGTCAAATAAAGAAAAGTCCCGACTGATAAGACGAGAAACTAGTCGTTTCTGGTTGGAATTCTTGAGAAGATAAAGTGCATTTCTTTCACGTAATCGAGTGGTTCGGTGGTCTCTGTCTGTCTCGGAGTCTCTGATTTGCCATTAAATCCACTTTACTATATGAAAGCAAAATCTTTAAGCCAAAGGCCAAAAGTAGAGCAATCCGAGGCTACTCACCAACACCTAGACGCTTAGCGCATGGGTTACTACAGCTAAGCAGAACTTTTCAGTACTTCTCGAGATCATGCTTGCAAATATAAATGGTGATGGGCGCAAAAAGGGTAGAGCCTATGTTTAGCTTTTCGACTTAACTCAAGTACACAATATGTACGTGTCGTTCCTAACCATTTATAAGTTGAGCTTCTCTTTTCATCTCGTTGAATGTCTAATCGGAATAACCTCATGCCGTCCTTGGACCGAGTTTTGACTCAAAGTTAACGGATCTCAGCATGACCATCGCATTCTTATACAGCCTTAGATCGAAAGCGATGCTTCCATAGCCGAGATCTTTTTAAAAGTACTTTGATATTGCAAAGACGAAGAACTTTCAGAATCGACATAGCAAATACTTTGTTATGAGTAGTACTAATACTGTGCCGTACTGACCGAAGTCCATTGATCGATTTCAGGACCTTTTTCTTGTAAGTACCTTCGAATGATTTTCTGGCTTTTTCTTTCAGGTACCCTTTAATGTCTCATCAAAGATTTGTTACTCGCAGCTGATATCTATTAAATTTTATGTTTCATTACAGTACAATAAATAGTAAGTCGCAGTGTAGCGAAATAGAAAACGATTTTGTTATTGATACCTAACTGGAGCAGATGGCTACACGCTTCAGAAGAAGAGGATAATGGCGAAGACACAGATTGAGACGGCAGTGGGCGAGGATGCAGAATCGCGTCGGAGTTTTTCTTGCGTCATGTCTGGCTTCAAGTTATCTTTTTTCATATAGTTTAAACTCTGTGCATATTCGCCGTTATCATCAATATTATTATTATCCATTGGAAGTTGCTTAGCTACTTCTTGCATATGTCCTGCATGAAGGACGCCCTGATAGTTGTCTCTGCCTTCTTCGAATTCATCAAATTTCGATTCAGTGAATTCTTCCTCTTTATCGTCTAATTCCAGAGCATTGACAAATTGCTGCACCTTGCTACTTTCAGCTAAAAATGAGTTTTGTTTCGTGTTGAGAGATCATGCTGCTCAATTTCCTCGCAATACTTACTTTTGGTGTTCTCCACTTTGTTCAGATTGGCGGGAGACAATCGCGGCATCTCTTCAATACTAATACGGTCATTTTCATCTTTCGATTTGATAGTTCCATCAACGTCATTCGCTTGTAATCTACAATACAGGTTCTTCTGTTTGACAATGGTATGAAACGTACAGTAACATTCACTTGATATTGGTAGAAGAGAAATAGTAATTCACTTTCCTCATAACTCGAATAAAACTCTCTTGCCCTTTCAACGTAATGACTTCATTCATTACTTTCCCCCATTACTGCAGGATGGATTGTCCGGAGGAAAACAAACAATTATCGACGGACAATCATTATCAACAAGAATCGTGCAGCATAAAAGAGCTCAGTGAGGTTGTTTCATTCGAGCGATGCTCCACTGGATTCTACTCGATGCGATTACCAAGGCATGCCTCGAAAGAGGGAAGAATTGCGGACAGTCAACTCGGACAAATCCACCTCTGAGGAAGGCGAACGCGTCGAACATAGCCAAATAAAGCTTTTTTATCGACTTCGTGATAGTTAATGAAAGAAGACGTTTTGATTAGTCATATTGAGGTTAAAGGAAAGTCGTTTT